CCATTGGTCCAGAGCCCGTTTTCATCCACAAAGGCATCTCTCTCGATCTCATTTTCACCACCATTGCCTCCGGCGATCTTGATCGAGATGGTGTTGACATTCCGCCTAGACTGCGTCAAATCTGCTCTGAGTTCTTCATTTTTGACGACATTCTCCTACTGATCAGCTCACCTGGTCTCCATCGACGTGTTCTCTTCACAGAGAAGGAGGTGTCTGAGGTTCTCCGAGCTACCCATGAACAATATGGCCACCGCGGTGCTGCTGCCATCCTTCATGCTCTCCGTCGCCTCTATTACTGGCCGGGCATGGCTGATCACGTGAAGTCCCATCGTGCATCATGCGGCACGTGTGCAAAAGCCACCAACCATGGTCTTCTCAAGGCGAGTCTCCACTTCGTGGTTCCCCGTCTCATTTGGGAGACAGTCCAGCTGGACATCCTCTACCTTCCCGCTGTTCATGGTCCCACCAAGGAGTACCCCGATCTGGCTGATCCCGCCAAGGCTCTCGCTGCTCAAACCACCCTCACCGACTTCCTCCCCACTGCCCCTCAGTTCACTGATGTTTCCTCTGCCCCCCGCGGACAGCTAAATGTCACTATTGCCCCCTACCAGTATGTCCTTGTCGCTCGTGATGAATTCTCTGGCTGGCCTGAGGCGGTGCCCTTACGAAGTATCAACTCTCTCTCCACAGCCGCTTTCTTCTACGATTTCATCATTGCTCGTTTTGGCGTTCCCCGTCGGGTCTACACTGACGGTGGTAGTGAGTTCAAGGGTGATTTTAAGCATCTCTGCGAAGATTTCCACATCAAGCAGGTTTTCACCACTCCTGCTCATGGTCAATCGACTGGCATTGTGGAACGCGGTCACCAAAACCTCCTCCACTGCCTGCGCAAATACGGTCGTCAGTGGATCTTATACCTCCACACCGCCCTCTGGGCTGACCGGTGCACCCGTCGTTCATCCACGGGTAAGTCACCTTTTGAGCTGATGTATGGTGTCTCTGGTGTCTTGCCTGTCGAAAGTCGTTTCCTGACCTGGAATTACCTCAGTGGCAAGACCGACCTGGCCCACAACGACCCCGCTCATGCTGCTTTTCTGCGCACCTTGCAACTTGCTGCTTCTACTTTCGAAGTTGGCTCTGCTCGTGACCACCTGACCCTGCAACGCCAGCGTCAAAAGGCGTTCTACGACAAACATCACAACACAGCTGATACAGATCCCTTGGCCGTAAATGATTTCGTTTTTGTTCACGACCTCCGTCCCCACAACAAGCTGACTCCTCGTTGGACTGGTCCCTCCATCGTGACCGCGTGTCACCCTGAGACCAGCACGTACACTGTCAACGATGTTGACGGTGAGAACCCGCGGCGTATCCACCGCAACCGCCTCAAGGTTTTCCACCCCGCTTCCATCGTTGAGTTCCAGGACCGCATGAAGGAACATCAGTCCCGCGAGTCTGCTCTCCCTGCCATTCCTGGCCGCTTTTCTGCCTGTTCTCCACATGTTCTTCCCCCGGCTTCAGTGGCTACTCGTTCCGTCCGTTCTGCAGCTACCACTGCGTCGACTAGAGTTACTTCTCGGTCGAAGCTCGCTCGTGTTGATTCTGGGCTTGCTCAGGGCTCCTTCCTTGCTCAGGGCCTTTATTCTTGATTCTTCTAACCAGGGCTTCGGGACGAAACCCCGTTAGACCTGGGCAGGTGTAACACTCGCTCTGGAGAGTTAGTCATCCGACAGGGTAACTCTAATCTCCCAACACCTTATTAACTCTGCGTAACTGTAACTCTTCTTGCCACGTCGATCTTACTCAATTTTCCTGCTCATCATCTGCTGGATTGTTGTCTATCGTCTGGCTCTAATACATTTATTGTTTATTGCCCAAACAACTTTCATTGCACGTAAGTGAATTGTTTTATAACAGCGTTCGCCAATTGCTGCGCCATCGTCGTCCGGCTGTCCTACCGTTAGGGGTAGTGTGTCTCACACTACCGAGGTTACTAGAGTTGGGAAAGCGATACTGCCTCGGACACACCACCTGGGTCTTACGACTGCAGAGAGAATCGGCGTTACCTCTCTCACAAAGCCCTTCAGTACCGCCGCCTGTCGGGAACCGCGTTCAGGTGGAACAGGACCACCTCCCTTGCACTTCTTGGTATATCAGTATAGGCTGATGTATTCATAGTGGGGTTTTTCATAATAAATTTACTAACGGCAGGCAACATTCACTCGGCTTAAACGCAAAACGGACCGTCTTGATATCTTCTGACGCATTGACCACCGAGAAATAGTGTTAGTTACCGGGTGAGTTATTGTTCTTCTACACAGGCGACGCCCATCGTCTAGAGTTGATGTACTAACTCAGATTTCACTACCTACCCTATCCCTGGTACGCACAAAGCACTTTATTTTCTCACATATATGAAAACTTGATGCACGTTTTTGTTTTTGTATTTCTACCAACTGTACTTGTACAGTTAAGCCCGTTGAAGTGTTCGTCTTGGATCAAGATCTGGGGTTTACAACTTTTCAGAGACCGAAAAACCCAGCAGAAACCTGGTCGTAACGGGTAATAAACGTCATCTAGGCGAAACCATACACATCTCCCGTGCCTGATACAAACGTTGCCTTGGTTTGTTCTTCTTCTCAAGAGAGAGGAGCCATGGCAGAAGCCCTGGAGTAGCAGCAAAGACTTTGCTGTACGTACAGTGCCGCTCGTTTCTGGACTGCCTCAACCAACACAACAGAGAAACGTGCCAATAAAGTTGCTGGTAAATTGCTACAGTACCCAGCATCCTCGTTGCTTTTTCTACGTCTAAGTTAATCATCTAGTCTAATTATAACACGAATACGTGGGGAGCCGTTTATGGCAGTTCGTTTACCTTTCTGGAGATTAGAGATAGGAGGTATAAGTGGGGACTTATGGGAGTTGCCCATACTAGAAGGATGCACCTGGAATGCGTATTAGGACCGCCCTTGTGTCTCCCGTTCTTTCCTCTTTGTTTTGGACATAACTCTGAGTTCCGATGTCGGAGATTGGCCAGGTGGAGTGAATTCAAATGTGTCGCCAGCAAAATTTCACAAACGCGGGACTGATATACAATGGTGTTCGACGATTGCTTCCATCCCCTGCTTTGAGCAATGTTACATGAACCTCTAGAAGCCAGCCGTTGAGTTGTCGGGTGATATGGCGCTATGTAGTTGCGTACAGTGTGTACATACAGTTGAGAAATACGAACTCCTCCCCGAAGAGGTGTTTCCCGAAGAGGAGTTTCCCGAAGAGGAGTTTCCCGAAGAGGTGTTTGATCAGTTAGTTGACCTTGGTGTGCAAACAAGGGATTCTTAGTCATGTCTTAGGCAATGTCCAATTACCGGTACTCTGACAGTATCTGCTACGCCAATCAATCGGTAGGGTCCCTTGAGACATTCCACGTTTGCATTCCACAGACTGACTGTTCCAAAAATACATTGCAGAGAAAACTTTTCAATGTGAAAGATGTAGAATAAGTGTTAAGAATAGAATACAGAGGCATCTGGAGAATTACACGGATCCCTAGTAGTCATGTGTCGGTACTCACTCGCTGTAGCTACTGTCGACGGAACTAATCGATTTTTGAGCCATGTAGAACACGACAAAGTTACCATTCTTAGTGTTTCCGTCTTCGCCATCATTTTCAGGCTAAATAAAAGTATTACAATGTGTTTGCGTGGTTTTTTTCTGGGTTCTCTGGGAGCGCTGTACCGTGTGCTGTAGTCGAAAATAGAACACTTGATGACCTGAGAAGATGTTATAATTAGAAGGCGACTTGTTAATGGAGTATTTATAGCGTCGAAGAGTGTTAAATTTGTTTTTGGACGTATGAATGACGCCTCTGAGTACATCGACTTTCTCGAAACGCTGGTGTGACAGATACAGTTCTACTCAACAAGTTCAACAGAACAGCCAGAGAATGAGAGAGTACCCAGGGTGCCCAGAAGAGTTGACTAAAATGAGAAATATGAGTTTCAGTGAGTGTTTTTGAAGTCTTTAGGGGAGTCAGAGCGACGTGCTACGAGTCATGACTATGGGTTGGGTTGGTTGAGAACAAGAATGGGTATTGCGGAAGTCAGAGGTGTGTTGGGGACATATGGAGTTGATTGAATGTTTTATTTTGGTGCTGGAAATGTTTTCATTGACTCAGCATCTTCCTTTCGCCTCTCAAAGACTCCAGAGACCGACATATATACGGCGCCTACAAGACGGCTTGTTTCTGAGCAAGTAAGAACTACTGGGAGATGCTGAGAGAGGTGGAAACTTCAGCTTCAGTTTCTGAAGCCCCAATTAAATATCCAACACCACTCACTGGTTGCTTTCAGCCTGTCTTCCCTCGTTTCATTTCTCCCTCCTCCACTTGACAATTTCAATCACATTCGTCAACTATCTCTCCAAGTAACGCTATTTTTTAGTTAAGCCAAACAACCCAACCACAGACGTTTCTGTCTCTTGAAGAACGGCCTAAATCGTGCATATGTTGCGACCAGGGCGTAGCCCCGGTCGCAGCCCTTCCACTTAACTCTTCCACCAAGTGTCTAATTGCCACCAGTGTGCCATTTGCACCCTACGACATTATCTGTTGGAACCTAAAACGATGCGGATAAAAAAGTGTGACCGAGACGAATACATGTCCTGTAGTTCCGCGTAGAATGTCCTAAACGAGCGAACCGAGGGATATATAGCACAGATACCTGCGCTACTCGGGCCTCTTTCATTGTCGAAATCTAGACTTTCACTAACCCCATACAGCTCGGTAACCAGTTTGTTGATGCACGTTCCTGCACACCATTGTTATCACCACTATCAGAATTATGACAACACACCAAGAGAGTTGACAACAACATAACATAAACACAGACAGGTGCTGTGGACAAGAAACGGCACTAACTACATATACACACAAAACAACCCCGAGCGATCCATCTACCATAAGCCCGACTCGTCTCTTTGCATCTCACACATATCACATCTTAATGAACGGCTCACCATTAGCGAATCCCCCCACGACGACAACAGGTCGAACTACGAGTCCAGTGGTTCAGCCACAGACACGGACCCAAATAACGACACAGACACAATTGCCCAGCCAATCCACTCATCACTACCCCTCATTGGGCTATTTCAAACGACCAGGGGTGACGATTCTTGTCACTTCGCTGTTCTTTTTCTACCTCGGCTACGGTGTGTTGCAGCTGACAGGACCTGATGCATTTCTCATTGCTGTGTGTCGACGCACCCTTAACGATGGCAGTCTCACGGAATACGCCTCTGCGTGCCAAACGGACGCAATCCACACCAAAGTTGCGACCATGGGAGGACGACTACGAACTGCAGGATCCTTGGTAGGGTTGCTGGTCAAAATTCACATCTACAAGCTCTCAGACCGCTACGGACGCAAGCCGGTCATCGTCATGTCAATGGTGGCAGTTCTGTTCGCCTACTTGCTCCAATGGGGGTTCGTCACTTACGCTCTGTCGGTGCCTCTGTTCCTATGGATCATCCCCAACATTGTCTTCTGCACCCACTTTCTCATGGATTTCTTTCTCATCTACCTTGCTGACGCAGCCTCTGCCAGTAAAGGGAAGCGCAGCCTGCAGGAGCTGGCTACCGATGTCTCCTTCTTCTACGCCTTCATTCTGTTTCTGGGCGCACTGATTGGCCCCATGCTAGCCAACACCGTGGTTGCAACCAACGCCGCCGGATCGTCGTTTGCTGAAATGAGCAAGCTGGGACTAATGCTTGTCTTTGCTGGTGTGTGCTGTGTCGTTGTGATCCTTCCTGAATCAACGACGCTCGAATCGCGGGACAGAGCTACTGTGAAGTGGGATGCGGAGTGGAGCGTCTTGAAATGGGACGAGCGACTCATCTACGTGTTCAATTTTGTGGCACCAATCTCGAAAGTGCTTCGTCTGGCTCCTTCTCCACAGGATAAACGGAAGAACTCCTTCCTGCTGGCCTACCTGGCTCTCTTTGGTCTGTATGGAACATCTCAGTACACTGGTTTTCTGTTCTACAAACGCCAATGGAACTGGGGCATGCAGGAGATTACCATTCTCAACGTGGAAGTTACAATCATTCTAATTGTGTCCCAAATCTTCCTAGGACCTCTGTTTGTCAACACGGCGGAAAAATTGCTGAATAACACCACTTCTTCCACTCCTGTGGCTATCCTTGGATGCAAGCTTCAGGCAGTTCTGACTTTTGTGGTTGGCTTTTTTCAGCTGTTGTTTGCATCTCAGACCATCGGAACACTGGCTGCCATTCTCTCAGGTCTTTCGGGTACCTTCATCTCGTCCACCATTGCTCTTCAGATGGGTCTTGGACCGCCCGAGAACATGTCTGTTATCATGGGAGGTATTGGTGTAGCGCGGAGTCTGGTGGCTGTTCCCAGTGAGATGATTTTGGCGGTACTGTTTGTGACCACTATCTCCGCACCCAGAATTTACCAGGCTGCCCTTATGGCTGTCGATGCTGTCAGTTTGGTTCTGCTTGGTGCTGCGTCCAGAGAAAATACCGGCAGTATTATGTTGCCATAGAGTAGAGGCAACAATGTATATAGTCATAGAGGGTCGCATCTATACAAGCAAGCGTTACTTTCTACTAAATAATGCTTCTATTAATGTATCCTATGTAAGTATTTGTTGTACATGACCGTTGTTTTTAGACCACAGTCAACCGCTCCAAAAACCGCGTCAAGTCGTTCTTATCCACCTCAATCACCGCCATTTCAAACATGTCCATCTTGTATCTCGTATGCACATCTTCTGCGGCCTTCGCAAACCGCTGAGTAAACTGGTTGAATACAAATCGGTCATCCTCCAGGTCCTCTTCCATGACAAAATGGTAATCTCGGGCCTGTCGAGGGTTCATGCCCAACACCATGTAGTTTCCAGTACTCTTGTCCAAAGAGGCCAGCACCAGTGGAGGAGAATACTTCTTTTTGTGGGCCTCGGCCTTTGTCTGGGCAATCCAGATACCCAGTCGACACAATGCCAGGGGGTTTCTGAACAGGGCCAGATCGGGTCCCTCCTTCACCACAGCCACCAAGTAGTCCGACACGGGCCGAATCTGGCCCTTTTCAATCAATGCAGTAGTAGTTCGAGCCACAGCTTGTTGTAGCAGCTTGGCCTTGCTGATTCCAAGCAACAGTGTATCCACATCTTCCAACGAGTCCCAGGCGCTCCAAAAGTTGGCTATCCAGAACTGGTCTCGTTGCGATTCGTCACGATAGTCTTGGTCGACTGTGAGCAGAATGCCCTCCTTAATATGATCCAATCCCGCGGGTGATTTGTCCATTCCTAGCTGCAAAATAACACCAGCAGCATCCACACAATCTCCAGCTGTCAGAGAGCCCTTGTATCCAAACTTTCGCACCACTCCGGGTCGCAGAAGATCCTCCAGATCGGCCACCTTGGCCGCCTTTTCGATTCGTTTGTTGAGACCCTGCTTGACGCTCACCTTCAAATGGATCCAGCCCTCTCGAGCCTCTGTCAATGAAACACCCATGATGGCCAGCATCTTCTGAAAGTTCTGACGGCCCTTTTCCGTCCACAGTTTCATCTTGGCCCAAATGTAATCCGTGTGGAACATGGAGTCGTAAATGTTCCAATGTCGAAGCACAAACAGCGAGTAGTCGGTTTCGAGTTTGAGAGACGTGACCAGCTCCTTTTCTGACACGGGGGCCTCGGAGTTTGCATTCTGGGCCATCTGGGCGGCTGCTTCTTCGTTGCCGACTCGATTTACTTCATCTGCAAGCATGGGAAACGAGTCCTGGAATACTTGCGGGTACTGACTGTCCAGAGAAGACGTTCCCACGACAGCTAACCATAAGCGAGTGATTGACGTTTCACCAATAAGCGACATGAGAGTGTAGAGCATGCAAGAGGCTGGGGAGGACTGAGAGGTGCCTTGCTGGTAGTAGGCTCTGATCTTGTCTTCAAAGTCGTCTTTTTGTTTCTTCGCCGACAGAAGTTGGGAATGCAGTTTCTTGGCGTCAGGCAGGTCTTCCGAGTTGGACCGTTTCGAAGGAAGTAGAGTGTCCACCAGATCACCACCATCGGAGTCAGAATCATTGTCGTCGACAGTATTGGTGTGGTGACCATTTCTCTTATGAATTTGCTGGTCGTCATCGTCGTCGTCATCGTCACCCTCATCTTCCAGATCACTCAGAGCGTCCAGCTCTTCGGCACTCATGTCGTTCAGCCAGTTGTATGCCACCAACAATTCCCCTCGCTCTTCCAAATTGCCCCTTCCGTCGTCAAAGCACACAATCTTGGAATCCAAAATGTTATCCAAGTGCCAGGGCCGGTTTCCGTCCACAATGTAAATCTTTTTGAGCTCCATCTCCTCGTCGTCCCCCCTCAACAGTTCCCCCACATCCTGAGTGGCACCGAACCCAATGAAGAAAACGTTGAGAATCTCGGGGTCCAGAGCCCGGTACTTGCGAATCATCTCCTCGTAGCCCGTCACCGGCACCGTCTTGTGGGGGATCAACTGGGCTCGCAGCAGATCAGAAAACATTCGAGCTCCACACAGAGCGTCCACATTGAGACACGACACAAACACCACCAGCTTGCACGTCATGTGAGCAATACTGGTCTTGCACAGCGCCCGATACGTCTCTTCAAACTGGTCTGGTTGGATGATCATGGTGTGTCGTTGTCAGTCGTCACTCACTTTGATTCGGTGTGGTGGAAAGACGCGTCAAGGTAAAGTTACGCGTGTGCAGACCGGTAATTAGAGGTTAGGGTACTGCAAAGAAAGTGCAGTCGGTGTGGTCACGTGAGGGTGTATATCTATGTGTGTGTGTATGTGTGTGTGTCCTGGTCACGTGATCGAAAAGGCGAGGGCGGAAACTGGCCCATAACGTGTCTCACAATCACTACAAGTAGATCAGGGGTGGAAACAAGTATGGATTTTAGTAGAGTTGGTGAAAAAAAATTGGTTTGTATGTAGGTATGTTTGTAGAGGTGTTTGTAGAGGGGTTGTAAGAAATATAAAAAGTGGATGTTGTAGAGAAAGTGTTGGGGATTATTTCAATGATTTCTCCTTTGTAATTTGAGGTTCCTAAGTATCCACTATAGGCGTGTGTATACTTTTACCTGTTACCGTACATTCTCTGGTTTGATGATAAGGTTTGTTAAATAAATGCCTTTAGTATTTGTTAAATCAATGGGATAAACTGTTGACACTAAACTAAGTCCCAACTAAATATTGTGGAGTACAATACAACACATTATTCAACAATTCAGACCAGTGCTCGTGTCGCTGACACCTGGTTACATTATTAATTACTGCTATTACAATTGAGAGGGAGGGGCGTCGACGTTAGCACTGGCTATCTTGGGCTCCTCTTCATTGGATTCGACGGCCTCGACCATCTCCTCCGAGTGTTTCTCGTCTTCGGGAAGGGCGCCAGGAACGTGGTCAGGCACCCAGTTTGCGGTTCTCCAGGCAGGAACTCGGGCGGCCCACATCATATCAATCTCTTCGAGGGTCTTGCCCTTGGTTTCGGGGAAGAGGACAAAGACGTGGATGGTCATGACGATACAGAAGACTCCAAAGATGATGTAGGTCTTCCAGTTGATGTTCTTGAAGGCCGAGGGCACGAATAGAGCGAGAGCAAAGTTGAAGATCCAGTTGGCAGAGGCGGTTACACCGGCAGCCACAGCTCGCTGCTTCAGAGGGAACAGCTCGGAGCAGTACAGCCAGATACCGGGGCCCCAGGTAGGCGCAAAGGTGGCCACAAACAGGTACGAGCACGCAATGACTCCCTTTTGGGCAGGCTTGTGAGTGGGCTCAATGACAATGGTTGTGAATGCGTCTCCGTCGAGTCCACCGGGGATCTGAGTTCCGTACACTGCAAGGATACCAGCGACGGCAAACAGCCAGATCATCATGACGATTGATCCGAACAGCAGCAGGGGTCGTCGTCCCACTCGGTCAATGAACAGAAGAGCGGGGATGGTCATGATCATGTTGATGACGTACTGGATAGACGAGGCCACCAGATTGGCGTTTCCAGTGTATCCAGCCATGGTGAAAATCAGCACAATGTAATACATCATGACGTTCATGCCGGTGAGCTGCTGCCAGATCTGGGCCCAGATACCCACCATTGTTCGGTTGATAGAGTCCTTTTGGAACAGGTGCCAGAATCGCAGGTTTTTGGTCTCATGCTCGATTCGGACTGCTTCTCGGATCTCTTCAATCTCTAACAAAATGTCTTCTTCGGTGCCGTAGCCTCCCTGGTGGATGGCTCGAAGCACTCGCACGGACTCGTCCCAGTTGTCCTGCTTGGCTAGCCATCGCGGAGACTCTTCCAGGAACAAACAACCGAGAGACATGAGCAGACCGGGGATGATCTGCAGACCCCAGGCGACTCTGAATCCGGCGACTCCGTGGATGTTACTGAGACCGAAGGAAATGTAGAACATGATGAGGATACCCCAGGTAACGGCCCATTGGAAGAGACCGACAAGCCGACCTCGAATCTTCTTGGGAGACAGCTCGGAGATGTAGACGGGGATAACCGAGGAGCCCAGACCGATACCAAGGCCGGAAATGAGTCGACCGGCGATCAATTGGCCCTTGTTTTGGGCTGAGGACTGGATGGCAGCTCCAACCACCCACCAAAAGGAAGCAAAGTGGATGGCGAAACGTCGACCAAGTCGGTCGGAAATCCAGCCGGCCACCAGAGACGACAGGAAGGATCCACCGGCCATTGAGGCAGTGATACCGCCCTGCTGGATGGAGGTGGGGTACCCAAAGTACTCCTTGTAGGGTTTGGTGTCGACAAAGGCAGAAACAGACGAGATATCAAAGCCGAAAAGCAGGCCACCCATGGTGGCCACGGCCGCAGTTAAGTAAGGATTGTGGAGTTTGGGGAACCGGTGCTGTAAGGCTCCCACCTGGTTAATTTGAGCGTTTCCAATCATTTTTTGGGGGGTGGGGGTGGACCGTGAGTCCGTTGACTTGTTATTTATACTGTTTCATTTAGCGCGTGAGACAAGCTATCTGCAGAGCGAAGGGGGTCTTTTAGACGGGTTCTAGTCACTTGTAGGGTACTTATAGGGTACAGTACTTGTACTTGTAGTATGGGTCGAAACTACCAGGTGGTCTTGGGTGGGTGGTCCAGGACGGTCCAGGACGGTCCTGATGGTCATGGGAGGTATCCCATTTGCCGAATCGCCAGGTTGCAAAATTGACACCGAAAGTTGCCAGATACACCTCTGTCTTCGGCCCCGACAAGCGGCTGAACACCTGATACATGTCACGGCACTACCGACTCTTTTGTCTTCCCCGCAGAGTTCTAGTCTACTACTTGTAGGAGGAGCCAAGATGCCAAGCATGTCAGAAAAATACGAGATTTCGGGGCGTTCGCAGGCTGTGGATATGGCATATCACATGAATGAATGTCTGCTGCGATAGCAATTGGTCCCTGTTGGTGTTTCCGCGGGCTGGTATTCTCAATCACGGTGTTGACAAGGTCGCACGGCAACTACTTGTTTGGATTTGGTTTGCACTAAACGTACCCGGTCTCCAAGTTTCACGCCATTGGGGGAGACTGTTGGTCGAAAACAAAAAGAAATGGCTAGATTCACCTCATCTGGGGGAACCAAATCATAGCTTTTAAATTTGAATCTGTTGGCAGTTTCCACGGGTACTACTGCCTCCCCCAAAATCGAAAACTAGCGTTAGGCTATGTGGGGCTACGATACCTTGTTAGGAGCTTGAAATGGGCTAAAAAGGAGCGTGGAAAACATAAAAAAACGAGCTTTGAATGGGAAAAGAGTCAGGGGGGTGGCTGTTAACAAAAGCGTGACATTTCCCGAGCCTTGGTCACGTGTAGAGTTGGATTTTCCACGCTATTTTTGGGTCCATGTTACCTACAGGTTCAACCCTTGGCCTTCTCAACACGGTCTCAGATGACCTATACGTATGTACGTGTATTGTACCGACGAGCTAGTGCGAGACTGAGGGGCTACATTCTTCTCCACTTTTTGGCCCGTTTGTTTTTCCGGGTTTGTCCAGACGTGATTTGGGCGCTTCACGGGGGAAGTGGGTCTGAATGTGCTCTGCGATTGTGGGTATGGGCCTGATAAGAATACAAAGACGGTTCTCGAGCAGTTCACAAAGTAGTAAACTGCGTGCGTGCATCAGTAGCCGTGTCGCTTCCGGGGTATGGGGTCTAGACGGGGTCGACTATATGAAGCCGCTAGAAGTGCGTCATGCGGCACTATTTTTCCGGGGTAGGAGAGTGAGACAGAGGATTGAGTGTGAGAAGTGAGATGGAGGTGGGATTGTGACCGAGTTTCAAGGTCTTTTTTGGTCGAGACGTTGCTGTTATTGGATTTATCAAAGTGCTAAAAGGTGCCGAATTTCCGGCTACAACGAACCAGGTGGAGTGGTTCTGGTCTGGTGCCCAAAAGACTGGTTCATTCGTGTGGTCTGATATATGGCTCCACGTTGAGTAAATCGTCGAGTAGCCGAACTGCTTCTGTCCTCAAAAGCCATAGACGCGGCTCTATCCATTGACACAACCAAGTCTCACATCCAGGCATGTCTCAGGCCTAACTCAGTAGAAGCAGACTCAGTGACTTTTCTGAGACTTGCAAATAATATGGGGGAGGACGTTCTCTCTCCATATTCCACATTCTGGAGCCTAGTTCCCCGAGTCGGCCTGGAGACTAGCTGGAAAAACTACCGAGGAACACTAGTTGGTCTCCAGCGGGTTTAGCACCGCGGAAAGCAGTTTTTCCCAGCTGCCAAGTCTGAGACATGCCCTAGCTACTGTACTGTAGATCGATGGTTCCGACAAAAATGCCGTTTGAACGTTGAGCATGTGGAAATTTGGGACATCTCCGACTTGATTGCAACGAGGTGAAGCACTGGGATCTTACAAGTAGATCTACAGTACCAGCACGCATTCAAAACAAGATACGGAACCAATAAAAACCCTTGGACTTGTACAAGTACAAGTAGGATAAACTCCCCAGCAGTATCCCCGCTTCTGTGCCTGCTATTGACCCCTCCATTTTGGTCACGTCACCTTTGACTGTCCGACATGACACCAACATCGTCTGGTTGGTTTGCACGATCTAAATGAGACATGTATGGAAACGACGACAGACCTGAAATTGTTGAAAAGAATTCAAAAGACTCTTACAGTACTTGCACAAGTATACGACACCTCAGACTCATAGTTGGTGAAATATTCAAGTCGACTTACCTTGTATAGCTATCAGAGCATCTCCCTGTATATGTCTCCCTATGTACAACGTTCTATCCCCGCCACCCCCTCAAACCACCAATAATGGTCTGACAACCAAACAAAGTAGACCGGAATAATCACCTTTTCTAGAGCTTCAAAATGATTCCATGCTAGCGTCGGAAAATACTCCCAGAAACGTGGGCATGTGCCAATCGCGCACTCTACCAATATGTACAGAATGTATGTACTGTACTCATTGCTCGGTCCATCTCGGAATCTCCCAGCCGGTGATTTCTAAGCTTGCTCGGGTGCACCTCCCGGATCAACCGGTCCGGCTAGGTTTGGCAATGGGACCGATTCTGGTCATGTGACTACGGATTATGGATTACGTAAGCCCTAGAGGTGGCCGCCGCAGTACAGTATGTACGGTAGCTACAAGAACACAACTTTTTGCCTGTCAACGTTCCACAACATTCCATCCTTCTGATGCACACGTGACCCACCCAGAGACCGACAGGCGTCACCGTCACCATCACGTCATCACGTGACTCTGACAAACCCAGGCAAACTCTACGGGAGTATGTCCGTCGCCTCACTTTGTTATGTCCGTTTTGGTGCATGATTTGTAAGGTTGGAGAGCAAGCAGTATCAGTTGATTTTTAGTGATAGTTACTAAAATAAGGTTTGAATTGTACTCTTCGAAATGCACCATTGAGGTGAATACAATCATGTCTTTTTTTGTGACAATAAGTCCGTTTTTCGAGGCGTCAGTAGCAAGTGCGATCCAACGGCTTCTGCAGCCGAAACTTTATTTATAGGAACGAATTTGTAAACCTGCTTTGAGGTGCATATTTAATGCATCATTGACGCAAGCTTGGGCATCAGGCGTTATGAAGATGGTGATATATAACTTGGTTGATTGTCGATGGAGAAGAGACAGACAATAGAGACAACTTCCTCAGACACTCAAAGACACACAGCAATATGTCAACTGTCAACCTTTTCAAGCCCATCAAGATCGGAGCCACCCAGCTCCAGAACCGAGTTGTTATGGCTCCTTTGACTCGAACTCGAGCTCAAAAGAACATTCCTTCCGATCTTGCTGTCGAGTACTACAAGCAGCGAGGATCATCTCCCGGAACTCTTCTGATTTCCGAGGCCACTTACATCCATCCTTCTTCTGGCGGAGGAGGATTCGGTGCGGAGACAGTTCCCGGTATCTGGAACGATTCTGCCATTGTTGCTGGATGGAAGAAGGTGATTGATGGTGTCCATTCTGAAGGCTCCAAGATGTACATTCAGCTGTGGGACATTGGCCGAGTTGCCGACTACGAAATTCTGTCCAAGAACGGCTACGATCTCACCGGTCCTTCTGCCATTGCGCAGGCCGGTGATGAGGAGGGCGCCAAGCATGTTCGAGCTCTGACCATCCCCGAGATCAAGCAGAAGGTCCAGCGATACGTCGATGCTGCAAAGGCTGCTCTGGAGGCCGGTGCCGATGGTGTTGAGGTCCACTCTGCCAACGGTTACCTGCCCGATCAGTTCATCCACTGGAACTCCAACCACCGAACCGACGAGTACGGAGGATCCATTGAGAACCGAGCTCGATTCACTCTCGAGATTATTGACGCTGTTTCTGCCGCCATTGGCGCTGACCGAGTTGGCGTTCGATTTTCTCCCTGGACCACTTTCCAGGACATGGAGGTGAGCGAGGAGAAGACTCTTCCCCAGTTCAAGTACCTGTTTGAGCAGCTGGAGAAGCGAGGAGTCGAGGACGCGTCCAAGCGACTTTCCTACATCCACGTCATCGAGCCCCGAGCCAACGGTATCTTCGACATGACTCCCGAGCCCTGGCAATCCAACGAGCCCTTCCGAAAGATCTGGACCGGCAACCTCATTCGAGCCGGAGGTTTCAACCGACAGCTTGCTATTGACACCGCCCAGGAGGACGACAAGACTCTGATTGCCTTTGGCCGACGGTTCATTGCCAACCCCGATCTTGTCTACCGACTCGAGAAGGATCTTCCTCTCACCAAATGGGACCGAGACACCTTCTACGTCCCTGGACCCAAGGGATACACTGACTACCCCTTCTATAAGGACCAGCTGGAGCAGGATCAGGAGCTGAAGCAGTAAATTAGATTCACAGAGACTGTGATTATATAGATTTAAAGCATTATAGAGCCAATAGGAATGTCGAGCGGTTATACGTTTGACCATCAATAATGTCAGTGAAAAGAGAATTAAGCAGAAAATACTATATGTAACACTCGCTCTGGAGAGTTAGTCATCCGACAGGGTAACTCTAATCTCCCAACACCTTATTAACTCTGCGTAACTGTAACTCTTCTTGCCACGTCGATCTTACTCAATTTTCCTGCTCATCATCTGCTGGATTGTTGTCTATCGTCTGGCTCTAATACATTTATTGTTTATTGCCCAAACAACTTTCATTGCACGTAAGTGAATTGTTTTATAACAGCGTTCGCCAATTGCTGCGCCATCGTCGTCCGGCTGTCCTACCGTTAGGGGTAGTGTGTCTCACACTACCGAGGTTACTAGAGTTGGGAAAGCGATACTGCCTCGGACACACCACCTGGGTCTTACGACTGCAGAGAGAATCGGCGTTACCTCTCTCACAAAGCCCTTCAGTACCGCCGCCTGTCGGGAATCGCGTTCAGGTGGAACAGGACCACCTCCCTTGCACTTCTTGGTATATCAGTATAGGCTGATGTATTCATAGTGGGGTTTTTCATAATAAATTTACTAACGGCAGGCAACATTCACTCGGCTTAAACGCAAAACGGACCGTCTTGATATCTTCTGACGCATTGACCACCGAGAAATAGTGTTAGTTACCGGGTGAGTTATTGTTCTTCTACACAGGCGACGCCCATCGTCTAGAGTTGATGTACTAACTCAGATTTCACTACCTACCCTATCCCTGGTACGCACAAAGCACTTTATTTTCTCACATCTGGTGGACGACACCTCGTTTTTGTTTCGAGTGATAGCCTGCCAGATTTATTGTGCCTTTACTGTCGTACCAGCGTATTTTACTTCCCTTTCCGTTCTTTCGTTTTCACCATGTCGAAAGTAACAAAAGACGAGTTCCAGGCTCTCACCGCGAAGATGGACGCCTTGACGCTCTCCCACCAGGAGATCACCACTACTCTCGCTACCGCGGTTAATACCAAGGAATTCCGCTCAGCCTTAGACGAGCTCAAGCAGTCAAATGAGTCTTTCAAGACACATCAGGCTGGGGAGTTTGAAAAGTTGCACCAGTTGGTGTCGGCCCAGCACGAAACCATCGCGAACCTCAGCAAGCGTGTCGACTCACCCCCGAGCACCAGCTCCCTTGAAGGCATTTCCCGTATTGGCAAGGCTGATTCCGAATTTGAACCCGACACCCCCCAGAAGGGTAACTCTGTCCTACATGGCATGGACTTTGCTGCCAGTGACACGGGTTCTGTTGACTATCGAAAAGAATCCGACGCCCTCAAGTCCATCATCCGGAACGAGGTTTACCCCTCCTTGTCCAGCGAAGAATTCCGAAAACAGTTGTACGCTTACAAATCTTTTGATTCCCGGGTGGCTACCTTTATCCTACTCCAGGATGACATCCGTTGGAGCACCAGAGCTCGGGCTTTCCACCTTTGGTGCGGTGTCAACGATAAGCAGCCCCTCTTCGATCAACAGTACCTCCAACTCCGAAGCACCTTTGAAGCAGAGACTGCTGATGAATCAACCAAGCCAGGTGCCCACGCTCGTCTGAACACCGCTTGCGAACGTCTCCTCCGGGACCTTTTTCGAAAGCGCGGGTTTGACCACGAACCTGCTGTCTCCTTTGCTGAACAAGAGGAGGAACTCCGTTTCCGGTTCAAAGATTACCACACCGCTTTCTCTATCGAGACACTACGTGCGTACCTCTCTGCTCTGAGCACCGCTCTGACCTCCTCACCTCTGCCGGTTCTCTCTCGGTGTCTCCAGTTGCAGAAGCTCGCTCCGACTCACCTGGGCACCGCCCTCGGACGCGAGATCCCTCGTGACAACACTCGTTGGCTGAGCCTTGGCATGGACTCCGACCCTGAGCGTGACCATCAAGTTGCCACGGAGCTCATCCAGCCCCTCGCCAAGATGATCACCCAACATGTCCAACGACTTGACGATCTCAATGATGAGGCTCTTCTGAGATGGCGACAGCACACGGTATCTTTCGAAGACGTGTGGATGTGGGTCGAGCCTTCCGCCCCACCTGAGCCTTCCACGCCTGAACCTGACAAAGTCGTCGTTCACGTTGCGGGACGTGGTCGTTCCACCAGGAAGCCTGCCGACGGCCCTGTCTCAACTGAGACTGTGCAGAAACCCACAATCCGTGCCTCGGATGCCTCAACCTCCTGGGCAGCTGACAAGGCTCCTTGTGTTTTCTGTGGTTCCACTGCCCATGCACTGGTCAACTGCGATGACTCCGAAGGCAGCCCCTTGGTCAAGGCCAAGTACCTTGGCAGCTTCAAGTCTTTCACCCGACTTGGCTACCAGGGTTTTGAAAAGTATCTATCGCCTGTTGATGCTGACTTCCCTCTAAAACAGAGCGCTCTCTACACTTCCTGGAAGCAGAAGGAATGGTCGAATCCGCTTATGGAGCCTAGACTTCGAACTTTCAATGCGCAGTGGCGTCCTGCCCTAGCTGGCCGCGTAAATGCCGTTGAATTTGTACACGTTGAAGACCCAGGCGGGCCTTTGGATAACAGCTATGACTCTGACTCATCTGCGTCTGGTTATGACTTCCAGGACCTTCTCCAACCCGGCACGTTCAGTGTCTGTCTAGGAGGGGTGCCTCGAGATCTTCTGTCTGATACGTTTTCCTCCTACGACGAGCCTCGCACTATCATTGACTCCACTGACTCCCAGCTTGAGCTCACGAAAGAGGCAATCCACCAGCACATTCTCCAGATGGCAAAACAGCCCACACCCCTCCCCGTCACTTACGCAATTGATGCGCCTGTGTCAGGCTCCTACAGTGGCAACATGAAGCGCCTTGTGGCACACCCAGCCTTCATGCAGCTCGTAGCTCGCTTAACTGCTCCCCCGGGCACGTTCAAAGCCTCCACGCTTGAAGCGGGTTTTGTAGGTGCTGTTATGGCCCCGTCTTCCCCAGTTGCCGGCCGTGTCTACTTTGTTGATGCGGTCCAGCGATTGCTCAACAAGTACAACGTAGTATTGCCTACGAAGCTTTACGAGTGTTTCGCTACAGTCCGAAATGACCTCATGGAGCCCGCTTACGCCACCGAAGGCGATCCTCGCCGACAGTCTCTCAAGACCAACATCAACGCCTTGAAAACTGTTGTCGACAGCAAGCACCCTGACAGACCAGTGGCTCCGTTGCCGCGACGCAGCCCCCGTCGTGATGTCCGTGAAGACATGCCCCCGCCTGCTTTGCCTCAAGCGACAAAACGTGGTGCCGCTTCTTCTACGGTATCTTCCGCTGCTCCCCCCACTGCTAAGCGAACCAAGGCTGTAGCCAATCCCTCCTCAGTGGGGCCGACTGACTCCGCATCCTCCACGGGCGCTGTTGTTGACGTCCCCAGCTCTCGTGTGGCTGTTCACCCCCCCCGTCTGGGTGATAACCACTACGTGAGCCCTGGAACCCGTGTCACCAACCACATCCACGATGCCTCTGCCGTTGCGGAGAATGCACCCTTAAAAGATTACAAGGATGCTCTGGACCGCCTCCCGTCTGACCTAGAGGACTCCAAGGCTCTCTTCACCAGAGATCATCCTCGTTACGACAATGCCTTGCTGAAGGCTGGGCGTCTCCCTCTCTTCAAGCTTGAGGCCATTCATGCTCTGCCGGAATCGGAAAAAGCAGACTTGTTTGAGCGCATCCTCAAGGCGTCGGATGTTGATGGCCTCGTTCTTTTTGAGCTTCTCCAGGTGTGCCCTGACCTCACAAAGTACATTTGGAAGAACTTCCGTCACCAGCGGCACCGGCTTGCGGGTCCTGACATCCAAGCCATCGCTCTTGAGCTCGGGGACGATCTCATGGAGTGTGCCATGGATCTTGCGCTCAACGTGATTTCGTCCACACCGTATGAGCTCAACTCTGGCACCTTCGGTCGTCTTCAGGAGGTTTTCACCACCATTGACCGTCAGCTGTACGACGACAAAGTTGGTAGGCCACTCTCGCCCCACTTCACCGACAACATTGCTCTTTTCGACCAACAGACCAGCGCCCTTTTTGACAGTGGCTCGTCTAACAACGTCATCGACACTGATTTCTTTGCCCTTGTACTCGCGAAGGCTGGTGTCACCCCTGACCGGGTGATTGTTTTTTCTGACGGACAGTCCCACGCCACAGTCGCAAACGGAGCCAAGGTAAAAGTTGATTTCTGGGCGCTTCTCCCTGTCACTTTCCTGGGTGTCGTTACTCTTGAAACATTTTGTGTCATGAAGTGCAGCATGAAGTGTATTCTCGGCACCGGATACATCAGCAAACTGCGCATTTCGTTCGACCATGATCGTTACCGTGTCGCTTCAGTGGAGAACCCTGGTAACCCTGGCGTCCGGTGCTACCCTAGTGACAGACCTTCAGCTGGCCTTGTTGCTCACCTTGGGTTGCTTGACCGTCTTGTGAGGCCCGGCCGCCGGCCTGTGCCTGCGTTTCCTGCTGCCAAGCTGTCTCGCCAAAACGTCATGGCACACGTTCGACCCACTCCCTCACTCTGTGGTGATGTTGATGAAGCAACAAATCTCCTTGACGCCTCATCTCTCGGAGGGCCTCAGCCTGGATCTTACTCCCACCGTTCTGAAACAGCGGCAGGCTGTTTTGCCATATCCTTTGCTGATGACTGTGAGTCTGCCGGCCCGCCTTCGAGCGCTGCCACCGCCATTCTCAAGGCTCTAGCGTCCAGCTCCGGCCCTGATCCCCTTGGCATTCCCCCTCGTGATGACCCTGACGAGTCTTACTCCTCATCACCTGGGCACCACGGTGATGTCTCTGGCGAGCCCAACTCCTCATCACCTGGGCACACCTCCGCTCCCGTCGACGGTACGCTTGGACCTTTACTGCCTACCGATGCCTCATCTGTGGATGACTCCAACGAGCTCTGCTCCTCCTCTTCAGGCTCGGAAGCCCC